CCAGTGGAAGAACAGTGGTTTGGACATGTCCAGAGGAGGGACAGTGGGTATATTGGTAGAAGGATGTTAGAAATGCAGCTGCCAGGAAAAAGACAAAGAGGTGATACATGGATGCAGTTAGAGAGGACATGGAGGCAGTTGGAGTGAGGACAGAGATGGAGGAGGATGACTCGCTGTGGTGACCTCTGAAGAGGGAACTGTGGGAGCTCTACTGTGCCAGCTCCTGCACCATCAGCAGCATCCGAGGATCATCGGCTTGATGAGCACGAGGAGCATTAAAGGCTGCAGAGGACATCCAGCCAGCGCTGGAGCATTACCTGCCAATGATAGTTCTGTTCTAGTCTTTTACTCGTGTCTTAAACTTAATGATGATGACCTTGTGTTCTCTCTGTGCCTCCAGCAATTAACTCCTCCTGGTCCCTGGATTCTCCTCTGTGGACCTCAAGCTCCTCAGCTGCCTCCACACCTTCCTACCACTTGCTTGTCACTTGTCATAGTTTGGATGTCTACCTTCTTCACCTGGAACCATTAGGGTCAGCTCTCCCCACTACTGACTCCTACCTCCATGGTAAGAAAGTTCAACAGACCACTAGTCTTCTCCTTGCTCTCCACGGTTCCTCCCTGGCTCGTTGTACGATTTTACACTTTGTAAATAAACTCTGAAACTACATCTTGAGTCTTGGTACCTGTTCTCCTCGGTCCTTACATCTTACAGCAACAGCTGACAGATAAAGAAGAGCAGACTCGCAGACTACAGGTTTACTTGTGGTTCCTAGAGTTTCCAAAAAAAGAATGGGAGGCAGAGCTGTTGGTCATCAGGCTCCTCTTTGGTGGAACCAACTTCCAGTTTCTGTCTGTGCGGCTGACACATGTTCCTTTTAGATGAATCTTAGAGTTAGAGTTAGCTTGGGTTTCTTGAGCTATCCCTTAGTTCTGTTGCTATAGGCTTTGACTGCTGGGAGACAAAATGACCACATTTTCTCACTCTGCTGCTGTTTTTACTCTCCATGTTTGTATTTGCAATTATTCCTTTAAATAACGTCCTTTTCTTCCCACGACCAGTCGTTCCGTGTTGGTCTGCGTCTCCATCCAGTCCTCACCACTGCCCTTCAAGGCAGATGCTTGTCCTGAGCCTAGTTCTGGTTCTGGTTCTGGTGGAGGTTTCTTCCTGTGAAAAGGGGGTTGTTTATTCCCTCTGTTGCCAACGTGCTGCTCAGGACGGGAGGTTTTAATTAAATGGAGATTCAGCACAATCTGCTGGCTTCAGAACTGTTGAATGTTAAACGACGAACGCCCTGAGATGACGTTTGCTGCAAGTTGGCTCCGTTTAAATATTCTGAGTTTAAATAATTTAGATTATTTGATGTTTAAATTGTGCACAGGTGGATCTTATTGAAGTGGCTTATAAAGGTGTTGGGGCTTCATAGAAAAGCAGCTGAATACACCTGTACACACACCAGCTTTACATTTAAAAATATTTCAACATTGATTTTATCGTTTAACCTAATTAAACTAAAAGGATTTTTGTAGAATTATTGATTTTATTCAAACTAAAAAGCAATTATTCAAGGTTTAAGGCAACAAAGATAAAAGTGCGCGCGCATTTGAATAACATTTTTGTTTCACAGTAAAAAACAAAACAAATTAAAAAAACCTGCATTTTCAAAGAGATACCATACTTTATAAATTTAAAGAGCCCTCCCCCTCAAATATCTTTACATTCTTTCTGTTTTGTTGCCTTCAAGCTTAGAATTTGAAAAGAGGGGTGAAGACTTTTGCTCGTGAGGTTTTATTCAAATGATGCACCTGTTCTGGTTTTCACAGACTAACTGTCAATGGAAACGTTTTTTCTGAATGTTTTTTCTAAAAGCGGTCCTGGATCAGCTGCGAAACACGACAGTCTGACTCACGTGGATCAGTTTTATTCTTCACAGTGGTGATAAAATTCATCAGCTCACATGTATTTTAATATCACTGAAGTAACGATGTATTCAAATGACTGCTTGGACTCAACAATCAGTTTTTCTTTTGCACTCATTTTCAATTTTTCCAATTGTTTGTTGGTGTTTTAGTTTGAGTTTAGTTTTTTTGAAAGTCAGTCTTCATGTCAAAACAAAACATTACAAATTAGACGTATCTGCAAAATTAACAACACCAAAAACTTATGAACGAGCCTCAGTATTATAAAGTGATAAGCAAAACTACAAAATAAAACAGGAGTGGCAAGTTTATTGTTTAATTTGTGCTTTGATGAAATACATAAAAGCTCATTTAAATATTTAGACTTAAGTTGCTAAGTTTACGCATTTTTGCAGCAAGTGAAGAATTATCTTTACAAAGCACTGTGAGTAAGCAAGATCATTTTGTTCATGTTCAGTTTTTAGAGCATAAAATAAACCAGGACAGAAAAATACACCGAGCTCATTAGATTTTATTTACCTAATGTACGGAGTCAAATATTATAAGGCAACTGTTTAGGAAATGTCATTAAATACCAAAATTTAAAATATTATCAATATTATATACATCAGGAATAAATTATATACTTGGAGTAAAAACTTCAAAATCATATAAAAACAAAGTTTTTGCTATACGCTTCCACTTTATTTACTTTCTTTTTACAAACAACTTTTCCATTCATTATGCATTCATTGACAAATCCTTATAGATAATGAATAAGAAACGTTCAAATTGATTCAAATTGTAAATTAGGTAGTTTTTTTTACCTGCCTGTTTATTGAACGTTTAAAAAAAAAAAATGCAGTTTTATGTTGACTCATGAGCAAAATTGAGTGTTTTACTAAATAATTATTGAGACAAATGTCAAAACATAATAATAGTAATTTAGTTATTTGTTTATTTATTAATTTAAATTATTTTTATGACTACAGTACTTTCCTGTATTCTTCTTTGAGTGAATTACCAGGTTAGTCCACCAGGTGGCAGCACAAAGTTAAGACAACCTGCTGTTAAAAAACCGTAGAAGAAGAACAGACAAAAACGCCTTGATTGTTGACAGTAAGGTTAGCTTCTCCTTGTTGGGATGCAATTTCTCTCTACATTTTACAATAAATATTGTTTACAATGACCTCTCCCGAAGACAAACACGGCACAAAACGACCAGCTTCTCCCTCAGAAGTGAGTAAAATGACCGGAAGTGAGAATAAAGCATGCGATTCAATAAAATTGTAGAAATGATTAGCTTCATGCTAGCTAACGAGAACCTGAACACGTTGAAGACCACAAAGTTTCCACCGTTTTCAAGTTGCTTTTAGATTATTATTATTTATTTATTTATTGTGTATAAACTGGACCACATATTGTGGTTTGTAGTGTTTTGTTGAGAGAGTATATGTTTGGTTTTGCTGTGCTGTACTCGACCATAAGCAAAAAATAGCTAATCTGGTGCATAAAACATATTAGACTTTTCAAATAAATACAAAAAAGACACCGAAATAAAGAATTTTGCTAAATCTATTTTATGTGATTCGACAGTTTTATCTTTTTTTGTGCGTGATAGTGTTTTATGTCAATGTTTAATAGAGAAAAAAGTCATTTTGTTGTTGGATGATTGTATAAAATTAAACTTTCATTATTCATGACAGCTTCAGGTATCCACACTGTCAAACAAATTACAATAATCTGTTTTAAAAGGTGGCAAGTATTCATATCTACAAAAATGGTTATTCTTTTCAGAAACTACTTCAGTTTTCATCTAAAATTAGTCCAGTAAATAAAAATAAAAAAGTCAAATCTGCAGGTTAGGATTTCACAATCCATACAGAAAATGATGTTAATCCCAAGGAAGTTTAACTAAATCGTTCCCACCATCTGCTCCATGAGTTGCTGAGCTTGTGATTCACCTGCGATGAACCAGGAGGTCACAGAGCACCTGTGGATCCATTTTAGCCTTTAAAATTAAGTGTAAGATTAGAAAAATTGATTAAAAAAAGGTAAAAATTCCTCATATTAAGCTTCAGTGATGTGATCTGGTGGGTTTTCTGTGCAAAAGCTTAACTGTTCAGTTCTAAATCATTCTTTCAAAAATCCTGGTCAATTTAATTAGGCCCCTTTTTAAAAAAGTAAATAATCCCTTTGTCTGCAGATTAATGCAAATAAAACAAAACTGTCCTGTGAAATAATGTATACATATTTAAATGTATATAATAATGTGTGTAAAAAGTACAATTGTTTTCGGAATCAAAATGTTTTATTGTGGCAGGACGGGCCGACACAGTGGGGATCTGCTGATCTGGGAAGTGATGAGAGGAAGCAAAAATTTTTACGCTTGATGGGTGCAAGCAAGGTTTGTTTGATCGATTTTACACCACCCGGGAATTAAATTGTAGACCTGAAGTTCATATCGACAAAGAAATAAACATTTGATGTCCGACAGAAAATGTTGCAGATAAATATTTTATTTTTTTCAGAAAGAACATACTGGACGTCTTGTCATTGGTGACCACAAGTCGACATCTCACTTCCGTAGCGGTGAGCTTGTTTATTTAACCTTAGTAAAACTGCAGCTTTAGTTCTGCAAGAGGAAAATATTATTGAATTACTCACTCCTTTTACCCATACCGAGTTATCGCCAATGTTATTAACCCAGCGTCCCCACCCCACATCCGCCACACAGATCTATCCACGCTGAGATGGATCTGTAATGGCTCGGTGTGCCTGTTGTGATCAGTGTCTCCTCTGCAGGCCAGGAAGATAAGAAGATGAACGAGGACCTGGAGCATCAGTACTACCAGAGCATGGATGGAAAGCTGTCTGGAAGGAATCGAAGGCATTGTGGTCTGGGTTTTAGTGAGGTGAGGGGTCACCTTAGACCAGAGGAGTGAGAAAGGAACAATAACAATCACCCAGAAAATCATCATCACCGTGTATCAGGATATGTATGCTACGATAGTCAGATTCTTTTATCTGCCTGTAAAAGTTTGCCATTATAAGCCTAAATAGTAGCTAATGATTATGGCACACCTGCTTCAAAGTGGACAGACTTTTATAAAATAGTATTCTGTCATACATACATTTCTATATACAGAGAAATATAACACAGAAACTAAATTAGCTGGTTGTTTTCAAATTCAGTTTTATTTATATATCACCAAGTCACAACAGAAGTCGTCTCAGGGCACCGTACAAAAACGTCCACATTATAAAATCCCATTCGTAAAAGTTCTCTTCTTATCTAAGAAGCAGCAGATTGTGTTGAATCTTCACTTCGTCAGTCGCCCATCCTGAGCGAGCACAAAAGGAGACAGTGGAAAGGAAAAACTCGCTTTTAACAGGAAGGAACCTCCAGCAGAACCAGACTCGGGACGAGCGGCCGTCTGCTTCAACCGGCTGGGTCTGAGAGGAACAGGAAGGAGAAGCAAACACAGAAGGACCAGTTGATCAGTCCTGCTCACCTTGGAGGGATTTTCTCCACTCCTCCATACAGAACAGCTTCAACTCTGGATGTTGGTGGTTTCCTCACATTAACTGCTGCTTCAGGTCCTTCCACAACATCTGGATTGGTTTAAGGACAGGACTTTGCCATTCCAAGAAATGAACTTTATTCATCTTGGACCGTTCTCTGGTAGAACCTCTTGTGTGCTGAGGGTCATGGTGTCGCTGCACGACCCACCTTCTTTTGAGATTCAGTTCATGGACAGATGTTCTGACATTTTCCTTTAGAATTCTGATATAATTCAGAATGCATTGTTCCATCAATGATGGCGAGCAGTCCTGGCCCAGATGCAGCAAAACAGGCCCAAACCATGATACTACCACCACCACGTTTCACAGATTGGATCAGGTTCTTATGCAGGAATGCTGTTGTCCTTTCTCCAAACATAACTCTTTTCATTTAAACCAAAAAGTTCTATTTTGGTCTCATCTGTCCACAAAACATTCTTCTGGTTTGTCCACGTGATCTTTAGCAAAGACGAGCAGCCATGTTCTTGTTGGAGAGCAGTGCGTTTCTCCTTCAACCCTGCCATGAACCATTGTTGTTCAGTGTTCTCTTGATGGTGGACTCATGAACATCAACATTAGCCAATGTGAGAGAGACCTTCAGTTGTTAGAAGTTACCCCGGGGTCCTTTGTGACCTCGCCTACTATTCCACATTTTGCTCTTGGAGTGATCTTTGTTGGTCCACCACTCCTGGTAACAATGGTCTTGAATTCCCTCTATTTGTGCACCATCTGTCTGACTGTGGATTGGTGGAGTCCAAACTCTTTACAGATGTTCTGTAACCTTTTCCATCTGATGAGCATCAACAACTCTTTTTCTGAGCTCCTCAGAAACCTCCTTTGTTCCTGCCATGATCCACTTCCACAAACATGTTGTGAAGAGCAGACGCTGATAGATCCTGTTCTTTAAATCAAACTGGGAGTCCACTCACACCCGATCGTCATCCCATTGATTGAAAACACCTGACTCTTAATTTCACCTTCAAATTAACTGATAATCATAGAGGTTCACATTCTTTTACCACAAATCTAATATTGGATCATTTTCCTCAATAAATAAATGACCAAATATAATATTTTTGTGTCATTTGGTTAACTGGGTTCTCTTTATCTACTTTTAAGGACTTGTGTGAAAATCTGACGTTTTCGTTCAAATTTATGTAGAAAATTCTAAAGACTCCACAAACTTTCAAGCACTACTGCAGATAATTTTTATTAATTGACTTTTATAATGCGACTGTTTTTTGTACATTGCACTGAGATGACTTCTGTTGTGACTTGGAGCTATAGACCGGCAAATAAACTGAATTGAATCTATTAAAGATGAATAATATACAGTTCTAGCTTTACGGAGAGCTTTCTTCTACGTTAGCAGGCTATGTCCAAGTTGAATGAAGTTCTTCAACGTTATTGGAGCGCCATTTTCTCTCCAGCTTTCTAGATGTGTGTTTTAAAGTATGTCACTCAGAATTGAACCAAGCGGAGCAGTTTTATCAAGTGAAGTTTTAAAATCCACAAGATAATCTAAGTCATTACACTCTACTGCATTACTCTGCATAACAGAGGAAAATAACAATGGAAGAGATTCTTTAAATTTAGTTCCATCATTCTCTGATCAACACCTACTATAACGATATTTACTCTGTGACTGTGTAGTCATTTAATGTAAACTCAAAGGTTATTAAAAATGGTCAGAACAGGATGTTGGGGATGTGTTACTAAGCACTTCGGGAACAGCTTCTGTTTTAAATGTGCTTTATAAAGTTGACTTAAGAACTTAATCTTTATGTCAGAACCAGATCAAGAGAGTGATGATGAGAATGAGTAGATGTGTGGACATTTTGGGTAAAACCAATTGACTATTGAATTATTAAAGGCTAGATGCTATTAACTTCTACATGGATATTGAAATCACCCATTTTTATGACTTTATCAGTATTCAATAATAAGTCAGACAAAAAAACGGAGAATAAGGACCTGGTGGACGATATATAACAGGTCTCTCTTGTAAATGTGTCCTCACGGCACAATGAGCCTAACCTGAATAAATAAAGGTTGAATCCAATAAGTAAAAGTGGCTTTTCTGATTTCCATTTAGGATGATTCAAAATAATTCTAACGAATAACTGGCTTCGTATTAATCAACAATCCAGACTGAAAGATGGCAGCTGCTCCTCCACCTGGACCTGCTGTTTTAGGAACATGAACATTTAATGAATTAGCAGGAGTGGATTCATTTATACTAACAAAATCCTCCTGTTTCCTGTCTCCAGCCTGACCCGCAGCCAGAATCGACACCTGTCCCACCCCTAGACGGTCACACAGAAGGTGCTGGTTCAGAGAAGTCCACCAGTAAGGAAGGTCCCACAGAATCGCAGGTCAAACACTCTGATCCCAGTCCAAAGGATCAAACCTCAGAGGAGACCGAGCACAGCTCAGACGATGTCACCGACGAGCGCAAACACGACTTTGTAAAATCGTTGTAGGGGGAGGGGCTTCGGGAAAGGGAGAGATTTAAGTTTCGTATTCTCAGATTTTGCCAGAGCTTTGTCTCGTTTACCTGCAGACCATCAGTCATTTCCATGTAGAGCTGGATTCTTCAGAGCTCATCGAGACTCGGGTGTGGAAGAACAACAAAAAAAACAAGTTGTTTTGGGGATGGATTGGTCGTAAACATCATTAAAACAACCACGTTTTATTTAAGTTGAACATTTTAACAGTCACCGCAGTTTGTCTTCAACTGTACTGAATAAAACAGGATTATGTTTCATTAAACATGAGTTGTGTAGATGTGACTGTTTACATTTTATTTTTAATTTTTTTAATAAAAAGCAAGAGTCGCAGTGTTTTCTGGCAATATTCTGAAGTCATTTGTAAAGATAATGTAAGACTATAAACATGGAATCTTGTCATTTGGTGTCTTTAACGTCTACAGGAATCCATCGGTCTTTGAGTTTTGAACATTTGTTGAAGTTTTTGGCTGATCAGGTATTTCTACCTTAAAAGGATGTGAACATAAAGATGTGTTGGTCAACGGTTGAGCCTTTATTTTTTTGTATGCACGCACTGAATTACACCAAACAGGTTTCATTTCAAATAATTTGTTTTAAAACACTTCAGTTGATTTAAGTCACAGATGTACGGATGAGAATCTTGAACCCATCTTCGTTCAGAATAAGATTCAGAAGTAAAATTATTATGTCCCTTGTTATTTTCTACCATTAAAAGTAAAGCCATGAATATTACGTTGATTTTCTTTCGGCTGCTATTCAGCCTGGTTTGCTTTCGGCTCGTTATCGAGCAACTGACATAAGTTTGTGTTTTGAGAAGCGGCAACCAAAAACCATAAATCCTGCTCTTTATGAAACGGGTTGATTTTAAAGTGGTTCACATTTTGTCACGTTAAACCCTCACACGGATTTACACACGAGTATTTTCTGTGACGAACCAACACAAAGCACGTAAATGTGAGGTGGACAGAAAACGATGCATGATTTTCAACCGTTACAAATAAAAATCTAAAAAGGGGCAAACATTCATATTGACGACCAACTAAAGTCCAGTTCAACCATTTACCTCCAGAAAGTCACAGTGGTCAACAGAGTTCATGTGTGTATTTTAATCTCGGTATAAATACAGCTGTCAGTACATTATTCAGTGATCAAACAATATCATGAAGACCAAGGAACAGACAGGTCAGGGATAAGTACAATATTAAATTAAAACCCAAAATGTTCATAAGAATTCAAACTTTTTCTTGCTTAGAACAGAAAAATAATTAAAATATAAATAAAACAGAACTATTACAGAGTTACTATTTAGTGGCTTCACAATTTTATGATTAATATATTTCATAATCTGATGCATATTAGTTTATTGATGGTTGGACGCTCGTATTAGTGTTCAGAAAAACATCTCAATCCAAACTGTTTAATCTAAAACTATTATCATTAAACGTGTTCACTGCAATCTGAGCGTGTTGATTCTGGCTTCAACTCATGACCAAAGCAAACTGCAGCGCCGGTAAAAAATAAAATTAAAATTATTAATTGTGCAATTTAAGTGCAAAGGTAAGAAAACCCACTACAAAACTTAATTAAAAAAACGTAAAAATATGTTTCATGTCATCAATAAAAATAAGAAAATTTGGTTATTTGCTCAAATAAAAACAAATATTGCGGTTCTTCTTCCAAACGAAGCGTCCTTCAAAACCTGATGACGTCTGCAGGTCGTTCCTGCGGGTCAGTGCTCTGCAGCTGCTGCTTTGGCTGAGGAGACAAAACGGAGTCGGACTCAGAAGATCTGACTGCAGTCATAAAACACGTACAACTGACACGTGTTTAATTAGCATCTGTACCGCTGATGTTAGTACAATACTACACGTTCATGTAATGAAGCAAAATCCCCCCCTTTACAGGAAACACACAACCTTCACCCAAACACTAAAATCCAAAAGGTCAAAAAAACTTCCCATAGACCTCGTCCACTTTCACAAAGACTTTCACTGCAGTATTATTCTAACTTTGGTGTCTGGGTAAGTTGTCGACATCTTGACAACCCTAACCAGAAATTATTTGCAATGACGTACAGTAGTCCCTCGTTTATCGCGGGGGTTGGGACCACTCCCCCTTCGTGAAAAACCGTGAAGTAGGGATGCAGTAGTCCAAGTACACTTAATTGTCATTACCATGTACCACGGAGATGGTGCATGAGATGGAATGAAATTATGTAGCATTAGTAGTAGTAAAGTAGGTGTATTTGAGTATTTATATACAGGTATATGCTCTCGGCCACGCCCACTTCTCTGCTGCAGAGCGGAGAGCATGACATGCAGCAGGAGGGAGCTTCTCATGCAGCATGTGCTAAATCGTTTAAAATCATTTATTTTAAATAAAAATTCCTTCCATGTCGATCGTGCGGCTCATCCATCGATCAGCCAGTTGTGTGTCATGTCCAAGCTCACTTTGAAAAACTGCGATAGAGCGAGTCCGTGAAAAACGAACCGCGAAGTAGCGAGGGACTGCTGTACGGGTAAAGACCCAAACAAACCGACCAAAAATAACTACTGAGATAAATAATTAAGGTTTGTCTCAGTCATCCAGGCAGATAAATACAAAAACGGTTAAATCAGGTCATTTGGACAGTTCATTTTTGTGAGAAATATTTTGTCTTTCATCTGAAAGACTTCATCAGTCCGAGGCCTGCCAACCCGGGTCTGTCTTATAAATAGCCCACGTGTGTTACAAGCCAGCCTCCTGTTGAATTCCCAGAAACTGACTTTACACATGCGGAAAAGGAACCGTCCATCCAAAACGATCATCATGCACAACCATCAAATGTTTTACGCCAGACGGCACAACTTGCTACTCACAGAAACACAAGGACAAAAAGGTTCAGAAAAAAGGTTTGTAAGCTCAAACATCCAGGTAGATAACAACAAAAAAGGTTAAAAGACAAAACATCTCTCCCAAGAAGAAACAATCCAGATGACCTGATTTAACCTTTTTATTGATAGAAATCATCAAAATAACGTGGACTTTTATCCTGACGCACGCTCACTTTTGCTCACTGGACTTTTGTTTTGGATTTTCCGCCACTAGATGCCAGTGTGTCACATATACCAGATCTTTAAATGATGAAACTCACTCAAAACTTAACGTAAAAATAAGATATGAACAGCCTGGAGGGATGCAGTTATCTTAGAATCAGTCAGTCTGGATTTTTGTGTCTACATTTATGAGCATAAAAAATGAGAAAACGTTACGGACGAGTTGAAAGTCTTTGCGAAACCTCCGTTTATAGACAACCACATAAAAACAATAAGACAGGATTGTGCACAGATGCTGCTGGGCCTAAATTCACATAATGATGGTAAATATTTAGAGGTTTATCACCCTTAAAGCATTACGGGGCGAGTGGCACAGTGGTTAGAGAAGGCGAGCCTGTGATCGAGGTTGCCGGTTCCAATTTCCTGACCGTTACAACAAAAATCGGGGTGGGAAAAGTGAAGCACCCACATCTGCCTCCACCTTCATTTCCCCCACTGTGGGCTCTTGCGCCCTTCTGTTCAGCCCTATGCTCCACACGAGTGGGCTGCGGCGGGAAGGGCATCGAGCGTAAAAACAACCAACACGTCTTCGTGCACATAGAAGGGAGCAGCCAATTTTTTTAAAAATCCTTAAACTAAGTTAAACCATCCTGAAGAGAGGCCCTCATGGTCACCCATCTGTGCACTTTCCTCGTGAACACAACTACAGGAGGACACAGTGAATCCTGGCAGGCCCAGAGGACGGTCAGGGCAGGTGTACCTGCAGCAGACACCGGCTGTCCAGCCTCTCTGTCCCTACACACCAGGAACAAGAATGTTACCACACAAGTCTGACAAAACATCCACTTCTGCTTTGTAAAATAAAAATCTACTTTGATTATATTTATTTTAACTCTGAGAAACTTCAGTGAGTAAAAGGTCCAACGTAAAAGTTTTTTTTGCTTTAGCTCGAAGGACAGATTTTAAACACGACTCCACATTTTCTTTTTGTTATTTTCTTTTTAGTCATGATTGTGCAACAGCTCGAAGAAGACGTGACAGGAGAAGCAGCCACATTCTTTTCATGCGTTTTTTTAGAAAGCGCCGCTTTGATCCGAAGCGCACTGACCTGCGACCAGTTTGCTCTTGCGTGAGGCCTCTGAGGCCAAAGCTTGGGACACACTCATGATCCTCTCCTGCAGCTGCAGAGCCGAGTCCAGCTCACTGAAGTCCAGCGGTGCTGACGGCTGCATGTTCTGAACACTGAGGGGGGGAAACACACAGCTAAGAAACAAAGTACCTGATCACAGTGGAAGACGGGGGGTGGGTGTATTCACCCCCATGAATTCTATGAATTCTGTTTTGTTGCTTTGCAGCCTGAGATTTAGGGAACTTTGCTGGACTTGATCCGTGTGAACAGTCACTCCTTCAGTTTGTGTAAGTGCTGCTTGTGTCACAGGATCATCATCATCACACTTCTAACTGGATGCTAAAAGTAACATCGTCTCTGACTGGCGTAGAGAGATCCTTGGTCTTCTTGATGTCTCTTTGAACTGGTTGTCAATAATTTTAATTGATTAATGTATTTATGCACTGCTCCTTTACTGTTATTGTGAACAATATTAAAATGTTCCTTACTCTTTGTAATAATCAGTCTTGATGTGACCGGTCAGTAAAGTGACAGCAAGAGAAAATTTTTATTATTCTCACGGTTTTGATTGATATGATTACAGTGATGTTGTTGAAAGTGTCCTTAGGAGCCGTTTGGCTTTCTGCGGGGTTCCGCAAGGCTCGATTCTTGGACCCCTTCTGTTTTCACTGTATCTGCTTAGTTTGGGGTCTATCCTGAGGAAACCAGGTCTTTCTTTTCACTGTTATGCTGATGATTGTCAGATTTGTCTGCACTTAAAACCCAGTAGTTCTTGGTCCATTCACCCTCTGTTTAAATGTCTGGATGACATCAAGGCATGGACGGCTTGAATTTTTTAAAAAGTTTTAATGATCATCGATTCATCCATCCATTATTTTTACCCGTTTATTCCATTTTGGGTCACGGGGGTCACTGGTGCCCATGTCCAGCAATCACTGTGCGAGGGGCGGGGTACACCCTGGACGGGTCGCAAGTCCATCACAGGGACACATAGAGACAAATGAGACAAACAACCATTCACACTCTCACTCACACCTAGGGACAATTTAGAGTTACCAATCAGCCTAACATGCATGTTTTTGGTCTGTGGGAGGAAACCGGAGTACCCGGAGAAAACCCACGCATGCACGGAGAGAACATGCAAACTCCACCCAGAAGGCCCCTGGACCGGGGTTTGAACCAGGGACCTGTTTGCTGAGAGGCAGCAGCTCTACCAGTTGCGCCACCGTGCTGCCCGTTTTAATGATCAGAAAACTGAAATTCTTTTTAGCCCTACCTCCACTGCTGTCTCTGTTCCTGTAAACCAGTCCTTCTTAAATAGTGGGGCGCGCCCCCCTGGGCGGGTGCATGTGACCCTAGAAAACATGCTTTTTTTGCAGCAGGGAGTAGTTTTTTTTCTTTTCTCACCATTCTCATTTTGTTGCGTGCGTTCCTAATAATAAAGTTATGAACAAATATGGCTGCCTTGTGGTTTTGGGAGCCCTGCATGACCCGTGTCTCTCCCCTCTGCTGCTGACATGATAAATAAACTCCGACCGTCACCTCCTCCATCAAACGCTGCTGTTTTTATGTCCTCTGGACGTCACTCACAGCGCACATGCAGCAAAGAGTAAACTCAAGCGAGAGCGACACCTGCCCCCTCTTTCCTCTTTTGCGTTGACTAAATGTTTTAGTTTTATTGATAAGTTTGTCAAAGCGCAATTTATAGAAGTAATGTTTAATAAATGTTAAGACTCTATTCTTTGCTAACAAATTAATTCACCTCCTCAGTTAAGCTGCTGTTTTGTGATTCTCTGGACGTTTGTCACACACAGCAGGTGACGAAGAGTCAACTCAAAGCGAGAGGGTTACCTGCTCCTCTTTCATGTTGACAATTTTTTTGTTTGTTTTATCGATGAGTGTGCTCATTGATCCGGACTTCCTCATTTTGATTTAAAAAAAAATTTGCATAAATTGTTTTATTCATTTTTGTTTTGTAGGTCAAAGTGTTTTATAAAACACTCCTGAGTTAAAATGTTGCTGATCAATTTGAATTTATTATTTATTGACTATATATATTTATTTTTTCAGTATCAAATGGTCCAAAATGTTTACAGTTAAAAAAAAGGATTGTTTTTTCAGGGAAATTGATGCACTTTAAGTTGTTTCTGTTACAGACTAAAAAAAAAATCAATGTTAATAAAGTTATTGTTGTAAGTTGATCTATATTCTTTTTTTCTTTAATGTTAATAAGGACACAATGTTAGGCAGAGGCGTACTTATAACCATTTTATAGACATACTACAGTCGCAGCGGAGAGTTGGGGGGGACACGAAATGTTTACTTCTTTCTGGGGGGGACACAACAGATATCTTAAGCAGCCTGTTATAAATCTCAGGATAGACTCTGATTTTGAGTTTAATAAAAAGATCAACTCTGCTCTGCAGAACAACTTGTTTCCGTTAAGGCAGATAGCTAAGCTTAAGTAAGGGTCGACCAGACCTGACCTTGAAAAACTAGTCCATGTCCTCATTACTAGACTACTGTATGTCCTTTATGTTTGGGTCAGTCACGTCTCCAGCTCGTCCAAACTGCTGCAGCTCGGCTCTTAACAGGAACTTGTGGGTCTGATCTTATTTCACCAGTTTTGTCCTCCCTTCACTGGCTCCCTGTACGTGTCAGAATAGATTTTAAAATCATCCTGTTGACCTTTAAGTTCCTAAATGGCCTTGCACCCTTTTATCTCTCTGACCTACTTCAACATGTTGCATCAAACCTTTGTAATAAATCTGATGACGTCTACGCCTGATTGCTTTGGGAATCTCTTTTTCCACAGCACTGGTGTTGATTCTGGTGGCTATATGAACAGGTGTCTTTATACTGGGATCATTTGATGGCTTGTCCATAGGAAGTGTTAACTGGAGCTTCAAAGCAAAGAGGGTGTATACTTACGAACACACCCCTTTTCAAGAATTGTTTAAACAATTTAAAAAAAAACATTTAAATTGTGTTTTTTCTTCCATTCAACTCTGTTACACTGAAGTATTTTTTAATAAACTTAAATGAAAATATTTTAAGTGTAAATAAACAGTTCGACCAACATGGATAAATACTTGTACAACCCGCAGTAGAACAGCTAAAGAACAAAGTATTTGTGGTAGTAAAGCTGTAAACAGGTAAAAGGAAAAAAAAAAAGTACAATTAAAATTCCAGGTACGTTTAATTTACGTAAATTTGGAATGGAAATGATTTTGAAATTTATGATAAAAACAAACAAAAGCATGCATTTTCATTTAATAATAAACTAAACATGAATAAACCATATCCAGAGTAGCTGAGTTTGTGTACCTGGACTTGGCCAGAAGGTTCTTGATGCGCTCCGCCCGACGGGAGCGCTCCTCCAGCTCCTCGGGACTCAGAGGTTCCTCCGGGTCGGACTCGACGTATCGCTCTGGGATGAAAACTTTTTGTGGTTTGGACAGCTGTGTATTGGACAAACAAATACATATAGTATACGTTTTTAAGAATTGGCTTTAAACTGTAGAACAGACGCATAATGGAAAGTTAAACTGAAACAAAACCAGTAAAATTCAATTTAATCAGACTTATCCAAGCAAAGGGACCTTTTAAGTTTATGTTTCTGGAACTAGCTGGCCTGGGTTCTGTTCGGTCTACAGAGACAGACGTACCTCTCGACTGATGTCCAGGTCGTAGTCCAGAGGTTCTACGTCCACTTCTTGTACCCGTCTGGCTGTTGCGGTCACCCATTCATGGGACTGAATCCTGCCCTTGTCGTTGAACGTACTCAGGCCTTCATCACTCTGACCCTCTGCTCCGAGTCGCTCCTCCTGCCACTCAAACACCTGTAGAGGAGTCGGGATTAAACAACCAGTAGAGGAACGTGACAAGCTCTGATTTGAAAGACAGCAAACCACCGTATTTTCTGCCACACACGTCGCATCAGTCCAAATATGTCTAATAAAGTGGAAAAAAAACATAAATACGTGGCTTCGCCGTATAAGTCGCATCTATTATGCGTCACCGCCGACAACCCAGACACGTAGGCCAGTGTGCCAAAAATCAATTGGCTGCCAAACGGAGGCCACGGGAGCGTGCACGGGAGGACTTTAACAAGATTAACACTTAAAAACAATTATTTGTTTGCTCAAAATTATAATAAAGGTGTGTCTCAGTCTAACTTTTCCTTAATCAATGCACTAATGGTCAAATCAGCTGCATTTCAAAAGTATACGCTGTCTCTGTGCTCCAGGAGCGTGAAATCAGGAAGGAGGAACGCTGTGCATTTCTTCAAAATTTAACAAGATAAGCACCTAAAGCAATTATGTGTTAGCTCGACATTATAGCAAAGGTGTGTCTCAGTTGCACTTTTACTTAATCAATGCACTTTAATGGTCAAATCAGCTGCATTTCGCCGGGGAGTCGCAGCAAAACGAAGCTGATTTAATGGTTGCTCCAGGTATGATCCCGGAGCTGGACGAAGGTGGCAGCTATGGCAAGCCGATTGCGTCGTTAATGGCCACATGACACAACGGCATGCCATCTAGCGGCTGAAAATGGTAGTGTTCAATATCTTCCATATCAGAATGAATGAAAACGTCATATCTCAGCCAAAAGTTGGGTTATAAATATGGAAAAAACATAAAAAAGCCAATTTGGCGTATAAGTCGCAGGGTATGCAAATTGTGCAAAAAGGTGCGACTTATAGGCTGGAAAATACGGTAATCAGCTCTGGGTTTCTGAACATCCAGTTTTGTATCTTTAAATGAAGCCATAACCATGAGCTACACTTCGTTAAGACCGTTTCCTTCGAACGCACGTCAGTTAAGTTAAAGTGCCAAACTTTGTTAAACTGTACTTGTAAAAAAGTTAAAGACTTTAAAAGTTTTAGATCACAGCAGCTTTTTGAACCTCAAGCCTCAATAGTTAATCTGTTACTAACTAAAAGCATTCTGTAAAAAAATGTGCAGCAACTTAGAAAATTAAATTAGTCAGAACTGAAAACAAAAAGCGGCTAATTTAGCAGTACCAGTCTTCCAGCTGCTAGATGTTGTTGTGATATTTAAGAGCACCGACATTTATTAAACATGAGCTCTTTAATAAAAATAAACCAGAGTTACGTAAAATGATCAGGTTCGGTTTAATCAAATTACAGACACGGCCAGAATTATATCCCTCGTTTGTCTGATGTGTCAAATTCTTCATATAAAAATATGAGTGATCTTTTCCCAAAACATAAATCAAATTTATAACAAATTCAACTTGCTCATAAAGAATCGTGTTATGAGTTATAGCTGCCAAGTGACAAAGCCAACAGGAAATGTCAAAGTTTTAAACAAAGATCTTGAGTGATCACTTGGTCTTAGCACAATATCTGAACATTTGAAAAATGGTGTTACCATTTGTGTGTTGGTTTACACTGAATAGCTACGGCAGCCATTTTTAAAAAGACTGACTCGAAAATCTTCTCTGTTGTAGATGCATATCTACATATTTCTTTCTGAAAGTGTCATTAAAATGTGTCCTGACATTTTGTTAATGGGCTGATAAATGAGAACAATCAGACTGTTGCTCTCATGCACGTTAACTTCTGTTAAATACCTCACAACTTTTTTGGCTGCAAATGTATCAGTCTTATCAGTATTAGAGGCCCCAACTTTGGCTTCACGACCACAGAGTGAACTGAAGGAGACACTTGTGTTTCTGGAAGCTCTAGTTCCAAACACACCCCACCCTATTTTACATCCCACATCATTTTAACTTCTTTTTTTTTTTTTAAAGTGCAGCATACATGTGGTTGTGTGTTTGTGTGGGGTACTTGTGAGTCGTAAGCATCCAAGGAGAAACCCAAACCATGCATCCATCCACGCCAGCCTGCAGAGTCTGACCGCTCGGCGCGTTCGCATGCTCGGAGAAACGCTGCAGCCCATGCTGCGTCATGCTCAGGAGAAGAAACCGCACACAGAAAAACAGAGAGAGAGAAACCATGCAAACATTCATCAACCCCCCCCACCAGATTAAAAAAAAAACAGTCCAAAGGAGGCTCAGAAGCAAGAGACTCTTTATTGAGTGCAAATCTCTACATGATAGAAAAGAAAAGGGAGAAAAGTTGTTCATTGCTTCTCAGATACACAGAATTAGGGGGTGATTATCAGTTCACTACGTTTGCATCTTCCATCACTATTTCTCTTTTTGATCTCATGAGCTGTACCGCGGAGGGAGGAAAGCAGAATGAAGGAACAGCTTTGGAAATTAATACGTTTTGGAAAACAGGAGCTTAAATCACATATGATTAGATTGTTTCATGTTTGTCTGTCAGTGGAAAAGGATGAAAAAAAACCAGTGTAAATTTATGCGTTAGGATTTGAGTGATTCAAATATGAAATTTCTGTTTTCAACTTGATGCTTGTTACAGTAACTCAGATCCGTCACGACGGAGTCATCCACTCCTTTTCTGCATTTCAGCTCAGTCCTCAAACGCCTCCTTTTGATGCATAAAACGGCACAGCGTAGGTCACACGAAGGTGCACACAGCTTCTTATTCAAGCCTTCAACGTGTCAGTGTGACTATCATTAATCTTTAAACAACAAACGCAACATGTACTCCACACGAGAGAAGGCTGCACGAGTGGGTGTTAGTTCAAATCACATACAGTAAATTCCAGAGGAGACCTGTGCAAATAATTACCATTCCTAATATAAAGAGGTGAAAAGTAACAAGAGATCATAAACTTATTGCTTCTTGATTTTAGATTTGCGAGGACATTTTTTCAGAGAAGTTAATCCACAGCAGTCTCCTGCGTTAGTTTGTAATCATCACACCAGTCTGGTGGTTATCATGCTTGATGCTATTTCAGTAAAAGTCTTTGACGATTTTACCGAAGCTTATTAGCACGGCTAGCATGCCCCAAAACCAGAGAACGAAGCTAGCTGCAAGACTGGTTTAATCCGAACGCCGGAGCATCTCTTCGTGCATTAAAACAATAAATCAGAGCTTATGAAGTGAGGCTCTGCAGAAAAGTTCAGATCAATTAATATCTTATTTGTTGTAAACAGCGTTTTGAACAGCTTCAGTTTGGAGAAGAGATGACGTTTATTTACCTTACAGATTGGGGGATGATGACACATTCAGTTTGACCTCAATCCAGTTTCCATTTAGAAAACAGCTGGATTTGCTAATTGTGTTCAGCTTATTATTATCAGTGCGAGCTGACAACAGTAGATTGTCAGTCATTCAGAACATACATTTTATGCATCCAGTGCTGTAGCAACAACTACACATTTATATTACTGTGTGTGTGTAAATAATTTATTGAGATACAATCAATTAACCTCATGAAAATGATTGTAACTGCAGTTTTTAGGGGTGTGAAGGGTAGTTAAAGAGAAGATTTATGATTTTTTTTATCAATAATGCATGTGCATGATGCACCTACATCAGTTGAAAACCTGTGAACCGACAATTTTTGGATTAACTCGAGGTATGTCGTAAAATTTAATTCATTTAATGATTATTCAAAGAGTCTGTGAGCAGATTTTTTTGAATAGCTAAAACAAAGTATAGTTTGTGTACGAAAAACACCCCCCCCCCCCCCCCCATGCACTTTCTGCTGTTTAGCAGTTTAAGCGACACCTAGTGTTCAGGAGGAAAACTGCAGCAGTGCTAAAATCAACAGGACTAAAATCCAGGTGAATGTTTTGAGTGTGAATGGAAAGCACCAAAAATCTGATTAAATTACCGAGCTGGTCTGAGCAGCGCTGTAACAGAAAAACAAAAAAAAACAAACAAGGTTTGCTGATGTTTAAAATATCAATATTTTAAAAGTAGCTCATCGAAACGCAACTTTAAAACCCTTTACAGGGATGTAAATGTGTCGATACGTGCACAGTGTTTACTTTTAAACAGCAGCAGTGAGCTGTAGCACTTCCTGCAGGAAGATCCTGATGGTTTAACCAGAAAAAAACAAAACAAATAGGATGAAACTGAAAGGTTTATAAAATAGTGTTTGAATGACGCATAATATATTTTTAAATTTGGAGGGGAGTAATCTCTAACCGCATTACAAACTTTTACTAGAATTACAAATGTTGTAACAAACAAGAATCCGTCCAGAGGACCTGACTGAACCTTGTTAGTTTAAAATGTAAAAACGCACTTTAATGGAAACGTGAGGACAGAATTCTGTTAATCCAATGAATGACAATGAAGATTATGAAGTTTGTTGTGGCTATGGCTAATTGTTGGGAGAGTTGTGGACTTTTCATTTATTTATTTGATTCTCCTTTAATTGTTTTAATTTTTATTGCATAGCCATTTGTCTTTTTAATATTTTTTTTGTATTTTACTCCTTTTGTGCTTTTTAACTTGTCTGTACAGCACTTTGTTTTTTTTAAAGTGATTATAAATAAAGCTGGATTGGCGTAATCCATGGTGGTCTTGCTCGTATTAGCTGTTAGCTCATCAGACTTGTCCGAATCAAACTCTAGTTCTCCAAAGTAAGATTGTACAAAGTGCTATCCTCAGCAGGTAAGATAATAATTGTTCATAACTGTTCTATAAAACCCAGATTCCACATTTCTGAACAATCCCTTTAAAAGCAGCTATTTTTCTACATCTCCTGACTAAAATGTGCAACCACACACCTTAAAGCTGGCTCTTGCATTTCAATCATTCCTATACGACTCTGTAAAGTCTAACGTGGTGGCGCGTGCTTTCAGTCAACTACGATTGACAAACGTTCGTTAAAGAGATAACTTTGGGACAAAGGTGAAAAAAATCAAATCAAATCACTGAAACAAGGCACTTGGATTTCATCTGAAGAAACAGAGAGGTGAGATCATGATTTGTTCCACTCGGGTTGCATCTTTCTTCATCAACCTGAAAGCTTTGATAGTTTCTATTCCGTACTCGTACGCTCTATATAACAAATCTATACAAAATAGATCTATACAACTGTATACTGAAAATATCACTCAGGTAATAAATAAAAATGTACACACACAGTATGTAGATGTACATCTATGGGCTCTTCTCTCTACTGTCTACTGATCTGATTAAAAGAAAGAAGTGAAGGTAGAACTGATGCCTTGCACTTCTTCTCTCTCTTCTTTAAGGACTTACATTCAGAAATGTGTCAGTGAGGTCCCACAACGGAGGCAGTGCTAGTAATTTCTAAACTCCAGGACTTTAAAAAATACAATTAAATAACCACCATGTCCAAAACTAGCCAAGAGCTCTTTGTACTTAATGTGTTAACCAAGCTGCAGTCAGTCCTGCCATTAAGCTCGTTAGTGCCAGCAGTGACCATCAACAATCAGCAGTTACACACAGACAGGCAGCGCTAGTGTGTTAGGGTATTATGTGGCTGGAGAGTGGCATAGCAGCACTGGTGGAGCGGTTGGTGTTCCCTGTGCCTGCTGTTGCTGCGCTGGGGTGGGGGATAACGTACGGAGGCCGGAGGATCAGAGGGACTGGAGGGCAGCCTGGAGGAGGAGGAGGAGGAGGAGCGCTGTGGCATGGCAGAGGAGGTGGAGAGGCCTGTGCAAGTGCGGTCGCCGTGGCTGAGGTTCCTTTTGCGCTCACGAACCAGCGCCCTCTGGTGGCGCTTCATCCGCTCCAGCTGCTCCTCTGCGGTCATCCGGCCTCGAGGCTGGCTGATCGGGGGCTGCGGGGCCTCAGTGGGGGAGGACAGAAGCTCAAAGGCACTCTTTGGTCTTTCCTGGTGACACAAAGATGGAGAAAATCGAACAAAGAGCTGGACGTATAATGAGCATAAAACCAGTTATCTGTATTACAAAGGAGTCTCTTTACCCAGTAATATTCTGTAAAATACACAAGATACACAATACAATACAACAAAGTCCATGCTCAATAATCCAGGTATAAAATCCAACATTTTTCAGTCAGGTCATCTGGATCAACTAGATGGATCCAGATGACCTGACTGAAAAATGTTGGGCAATACAATACGCTACACAAACTTTTTGAAGCTTGGTTTGGCTTTGCTGCCATTTCCCACTGCTAATGTAAGCATGACGTAGAAAACTGAAGCCCTTTACTGTGAGGATCTGTGTCTCTGGTGTGCGTCTCCCTCTTGTGTTCATTCCTGCTCCTCGTGATCAGCTCCTGCCTCTGACACCTGTTGTCCTTCCCCAGGCGTTTGTGTTTATCCCCTCGTTAGCGTCATAAAATTAGAATATCATGAAAAAGTTCATTTATTTCAGTAATTCCATTCAAAAAGTGAAACTTGTATATTATATTCATTCATTACACACAGACTGATATATTTCTAATGTTTATTTTGTTTAATGTTGATGATTATAACTGACAACTAATGAAAACCCCAAATTCAGTATCTCAGAAAATTTTAATATTATTTAAGACCAATAAAAAAAGGATTTTTTAGAAATGTTGGCCAACTGAAAAGTTTGAAAGTATCGGGGCTTCTTTTGCCTGGATTACTGCAGCAGTGTGGCGTGGCATGGAGTGGATCAGTCTGTGGAACTGCTCAGGTGTTCTGAGAGCCCAGGTTGCTCTGATAGTGGCCTTCAGCTCTTCTGAATTGTTGGGTCTGGTGTATCACATCTTCCTCTTCATAATAACCACATAGATTTTTTACGGGGTTAAGGTCAGGCAAGTTTGCCAATTAAGAACATGGTCCTTAAACCAGATACTGGTAGCTCTGGCACTGTGCAGGTGCCAATTCCTGTTGGAAAATGAAATCTGCATCTCCATAAAGTTGGTCAGCAGCAGGAAGTGCTCTAAAACTTCCTGGTAGACGGCTGCATTGACCTTGGACCTCAGAAAACACAGTGGACCAACACCAGCAGATGACATGGCACCCCAAACCATCACTGACTGTGGAAATTTGACACTGGACCTCAAGCAACATGGATTCTGTGCCTCTCCTCTCTTCCTCCAGACTCTGGGACCTTGATTTCCAAAGAAATTAAAAAATTACTTTCATCAGAGAACCTAACTTTGGACCACTCAGCAGCAGTCCCAGGCAAGACACTTCTGACGCTGTCTCTTGTTCAAGAGTGGCTTGACACAAGGAATGCGACAGCTGAAATCCATGTCTTGCATACGTCTGTGCGTGGTGGTTTGTGAAGCACTGACTCAGGCTGCAGTCCACTCTTTGTGAATCTCCCCCACATTTTGGAATGGGTTTTGTTTCACCATCTTGTCCAGGGTGCAGTTATCCCTGTTGCTTGTACACTTTTTTCTACCACATCATTTCCTTCCCTTCACCTCTCTATCAATGTGCTTGAACACAGAGCTCTGTGAACAGCCAGCCTCTTTAGCAATGACCTTTTGGCTTGCCCTCCTTGTGCAAGGTGTCAATGGTCGTCTTTTGGACAACTGTCAAGTCAGCAGTCTTCCCCATGATTGTGTAGCTACAGAACTAGACTGAGACCATTTAAAGGCCTTTGCAGGTGTTTTGAGTTAATTATATGATTAGAGTGTGGCACCAGGTCTCTTCAATATTGAACCTTTTCACAATATTCTAATTTTCTGAGATACTGAATTTGGAGTTTTCATTATTTGTAAGTTATACTCATCAACATTAAAAGAAATAAACTTTTGAAATATATCAGTCTGTGTGTAATGAATGAATATAATATACAAGTTTCACGTTTTGAATTGAATTACTGAAAAAAATAAACTTTTTCATGATATTCTAATTTTATGAACAGCACCTGTAAGTCTGTGTTCCTCGTTGTCTGGGTGTTTCCCTGACCAGCTCCATGTTCTGGCTTCCCTTCGTGTTCCCAGCATCATGCAAGTTTGCTGGCCCGTCAGCCTTTTGTTTTCTTTAATAAATCATTTCTTATTACAAATCTCAGAGTCTCCGTGGTCTGCCTGCACTTGGGTTCGACATCTAACCATCAGAACACAACATTTATTCTGTTGTAACAAGCAACAATCTGTTACTCAAATATGCCACACAATCAGTGCGCACACTTTTACTGAAACCAAACAAGAAACCCTCAACTAACAATGCTGATGACATCATCATATTCTGATCAGAAAAGGTTTAAACCAGCTATAAGAAGCTAAACATTTGTTGTGCCCCCCTCAGCTAATCGCACCAGCTGATTAATTAAGCCCCTGAAACGTCACTCACCTTTGCTGCAGAGCTGCCGGGACCCCTCCTTAGTGTGACAAAGGAGGAGATGGAGCTGGACTGATTCATCTGAGACATGGTGCCTGATGGACATAGTTCAATAGTTTGATTAAAGCCTCATTTACACAGTGAACAAGCAGCGTAAACACAGTAACAGGATGTAAATACCCCCAAAACTGGTAACTGCTACTAGAAAAAAATTCATGAGAGGAAAATACAATTTAATGCACTGTCCACCAAGATACTTTAGAGCCCCCGCACCATGAAGGATGACATGTTTGTCTGTTTCTGCTTCTGAAAGGGTTAAAATAAATGAAATCAAGCCAAGCATTTAGCATTTGTGTCTTTTCTTGTTGTATCAAGACCATATTGAACTGCATCTCTAAAGCTGAGCACCAAGCTGTGATTCATGTGTACCGCTACGCCCTAGTACCGTATTTTCTGCCGTACACGTCGCACCGCCCTATAAATCGCACGAGTCCATATTTGTCTAATAAAGTGGAAAAATCCATAAATACATCGCTTCGCTGTATAAGTCGCATCTATTATGCGTCACCGCTGACGTGTCGCGTTTGTTACGCATCACCGCTGACAACCTGGAAATGTGGGCCGGAGTTGTGCCAAAAGTCGATTGGCTGCCAAATGGCGGCTGCGTGCGCGTGCACGGGAAGACTTTAAGTCAGAGAGCTTTATTTGTCATACACACTACACTTGATACGTGAGGTGGGACAAAACTATGTACGCAGGGTCCCAGTTACATCCAACAAAAAATACAAATTGTAAAGAAAAACATTAGTAAGATCCAAGTCACGAACTAAGAATATCCTACATTCACTAAACTAAGAATGCACCAAGCACTAATGGTACAAAAACAATGTGCCCAAACAACAGCAGCACGAACATGAGTCTGTTTGAGCAGATGAGGATTAATGAACACAGCAACATGAAATAATCAGCAGCATGAGATCAGCATCATGGATAGTCAGCAGCACACATCAGCAACCAAGTGGCATTACAGTAGGGGTTGAGTGACTACATAATTTTTAAAGTCGACATTAACATAATAAAAGTAGAGTAGAAGTCGAGTAGTTGATGACGTCATAGGATCTCAAGATGCAAATAAATAAATAAATAAAAACGCAAAAAACGTCATTTATTATTTACAAAAAAAGACCAAAAAAACATTGGGAGAGTATATTATGCTCCTACCATTTATCATGCTGCAAATAAGTCACAGGCAAACCAAAACTATTAGTTTTTATTATTAAGCTGCAAAAGTGAAAGAAACGTGCAGCACGTCAAAAACGAAACTAAAAACAGTGGGGGGGGGGGGGGGGTCGCCCACCTCGCACCACCGCCAGCTGTGGTGCGCATTAGGTTTAGTTTTAGAGATTATTATGTTTATAGGTTTTTTATAGGTTTAGAGATTAATATTTTTTGCTTTTTGTTTGTGAAACAAGGTCAGAGGAAGCTGGTTCTGGATCGGTCATTGGACCTGGTGTTACACCATATTCTGTCACCTGCAACAGTGCATGCAACCCCGCCCCCTACAGTCACAATATACGGCGGTCACAGAATATGGTGTAACACCGGTTCACAACGAGCTCCAAACAGTCAGGAAGTTGATTCATTTTCTGTTTCCTTACGGTAGCTGAACTGGAAGATTCATCTTTAGTGACATATTTCCAGAGTATTGATGCATTTCTACCTGTTTGTCAAAACTGGGCCTGCTCCGCTCCATCCGTCTGCTTGGAGGAATCCATTTTGTAGAGCCTGCGCCCGGTGCGGATCACGTGACACAATGACACGTGACGTAACTGTGAATACTCGACGTGAAATTTAAAAAACTTGTGAGATGTCCTAGAAATCGACGTGTCGATTACTCGAGTCGTCGGTTAAAGCCCGACATCACAGCGATTTTCACAGTAATTTTTGCAGTGATTTTTTTTCCTGGTTAGAGATTCATGAGTCTAAGCAGGGGGGAAAGAAATCATGGACGCCTGGACGGCGCAGCGAAATGAAGCTGATTTTGCTCCAGGCGAGGTGGACGGACATGACAACTGTGGCAAGTCGATTGGGTCATTAATAGTCACTTGTACCTATTACATAACACAATGGCATGCCATACAACTTGAGTGCCATCTAGCGGCTGAAAATGGCAGTGTTCAATATTTTCAGTCAAAATGAAGGAAAACGGCCAAAAATTGGTTTATAAATATGAAAAAAATCCATGAATACGTCGCTTCAGCATATAAGTCGCAGGTCATGCAAATTATGCAAAAAAACGCGACTTATAGGCCGAAAAATACGATATTTAAAATGGCCAGGACTTTGTTTCCAGTCAGATGTGCAGCACATCTATTTAACTGTTCTTCCTCACACACCTTTACTCGGGTAATACTGGTAGTCGGCCGTGTCGCTCGTGTTCTGGTGGCTGCTTCCCGGCAGTTCTGGTTCACTCAGGTATGACCTCAAGTCCGACTGAAACACAAAACAAGAGGAAATCTGAATTTCTTCACAATGAATCAAAGAGACTCGAAGTTTTTCAGCACTGCAGAGAGAAACTTCTAATTCAACAAAACGTAGAAGGTTTTTCTAAAGACAGCCCCGCCCGACAAAATTAATTACCTTACAATCTCCATTTGCAACATACTGCCCACCCTCCCTGTCCCTCCTCCTCTCATCTGACTGGCGTTTGAGCCCTCGCACTGATGTGTGGCGGATGACCGAGGCCTCCTTGGGGAGGGGCGGCACCACTGGGGGTGTCTCCTCATAGTCGTAGAGGCGAGGCAGTGGTGGTCTGGGTGGGGCACTGTCCTCTGCCTGTGCAGCCGGTAAATCAGGAAGAGATTTCATATTAATGCTGTGATGAAGTTTAACACAGAGATGTTGGATGTGAGCAGTCAGGTGGCACTCACCCACTTTGGCACGGTGCTGGGGGGCAATGTGTGGGAGAGGATGCTGGGGATGGAGCTGCGAGGAGGGGGCTGGACGTCTGCGCTGTGGGAAGGCACTGCTGGGTCGGGCAGCGAAGGCACTAATTTCCTGTCTGGTGTGATGTGCGAGTCCAGGAAAATGCAAAGTCAACAGATTTAAACTGAACTTTTTTATTTGGGTTTTTGCGTAAATCACAGGACAGAGGAGCATGGTGAAGAAAAGGTCTTTGAACGCGACTAACTTTAAATCTGTTGTGTAAGTACAACAGACGACTGTGTGGGTGCTGCGGTTGTTCCCACCTGGGTTCTGGATGGAGTCGATGGTTATCTTGTAGTTGGCCTTGCTGGCACTGAGTCCCCCCATGACGTCCTCGATCCTCCACATCTCCCGTTTCATCTCGGTCTTTTCTTGCTGTGCGGTAAAATGTGAAAAACAAACGTATATTTCACTCATTTTACTTTGCTTTGGAAGTTTAATTTCAGCAATCTCCGTTGCATATAAGAGCTTCAATGTGCTTTAATGGTGCAAAGTTCTTCTTCGCTTATTTAAGGTTGCATCACTGTTCACTGAAGCCATTTTTAAGCTTCAGGTGATAATTAAAGGAAGTTTTATTTTCCTTCAGGTCTCACCTGAGATGTGTCGCTGTGGTTCATAAGTGCCTGCAGGGCAATCCTCAACTGCTCCACAGATGTTTCGAGCCTGTTGTACTCCTCCCAGGCATGGGCCATTTCCTGCAGAACCCAAGCAAATGCACACACGAGAGGAACATTTGAGAACACGTTCTGCATGTTCTGGTTCTCTCTGATTGTTTACATCAATAGAAACATGTTTGCTTTTACATTTAATTGATAAATTAGACTCATAAAGGTTCACTGAAAATGAGTTTACCAGTTCTGTGGCTCCATTATGTAAAGTTTCTTACGCAGTTGGCACAGAACAAAACTTTTCCATTATGCCAGTGCAAAGGTGCAGCAACATGAACACCCGCAGTGTCACAGACAGGAATAGATACCGTGGACAGTCGGGATATTTGAGCTCTGATGGTCACCAGATCTTCTTGCAGCAGCCTCTGCTGGTAGGCGATCTTGTGGGCATGGGACGGCTGCTCCTGGTACTGCTCCATCTGCTGGTGGGACACGTCCAGTATTCTCTCCAACTTGTCCTAAGGGTGCAAGAGGTTGAGCAGCTTGAGGGAAACAGAAATCCTGAGAGTTGGTCTGTAAATATGCTCAGTTCAGCAGCTTTAAAGTGCCTCCTGGGTTCCTTTGAGATCTCACCTGGACATTTTCTTGTCTCGTTAGTTCCCCCATGTCATATTGTAAAGGTGTTCTATTATTTCTTAATTTTAGGTGTGAATTTTTTTAATGAGGAAGCTGATCTGTATCCCCTATTTTTCTTTTAAAATATCCTTAGCTTGACTGTAAATCACACAGGTTTTTTTTTTTTTATCACAGCTGGACTACAGAGACAAAATCTATAGATTTGCCTCCCCCCTTAGCTAAACTGGACCCCATTTCCCACGTTGCTCTGAGGTATAGAACAAGTTCACCATTGTACTTTATATACCCTGCTGGACTTACTTCACTCAATAATTGAAGGATGAAGCATTGGTATACTTTCATATACAAAGACATTTTAGGAAAATGACCATCATATTTATAATCCAAGTTCATTTCACTACACACAGTCTCAGGAACAGCTGGCTGTGTTTATGGTACCCTTTGTGCGCACAAAGTCAGGAAAGATGAGTTTGTCCTATTTCGGCCCGTGGACTTTGAGGTTGGTGTCTTTTATACCTTTCTCTAGTTTTAAACAAAAACTGTCAGAGGTTTTAGTCTCATCTTGCACCTGTAATGTGTAAGTGTCTTAAATTGTGCTATTTTTTAAACTTGTGTAACCCACATGAAACATTGGGCTAATAGACCCATATCTGTAATTTAGGTTGTAATACCGAGAGGGTCCAGCAGAGGGCGCTCAGTTTTTACTGAGTTGAATTTAACCAACGTGGTTTGGTCATTTTTCCCTATATTCTGAGGCATGCTCTTTACACGTGCACTGACCGACCAAACTGTGGACCTTACAACCTGTCTATGGGTGACAGAAGTGACCACTCATTGAGAATTATCTGTGGAAATCCCAGTGAGAGACCGAGGGGACCGCTTGTTGGGTAATAGCTTGTGGAAATCCCGATCGGTTTTATAGTGACTCTGGATTCTTTGATCGTGATGGCGAGCCGAGCCCATGCGAACTGTGGACAGGTGTAAACGGTGCGGCCAGCCGGGACATCATTCCACAGAAGAACCTTCACAATCTGGAAAACCCATCCTGGGTCACAGATAAGATTCCATACAAAACACTACCAGGGGTAGCAACGTTGCTAAAGAACTGAACTTAATTTTATTTTTTCACAAAGAAAAGGGAAAGAGCTCTATTTAATTTTTTCTTGTATTTTATATTTTTCACATTTGTAAAAAAAAGTTGTTTAAAATGTTTTTTTTATTGTTTGTTGTGAAGTAATAAAATAATCAGTTTGGTATTGGGTTGGTGTGACATCATTCTCCTGGTGGAACCTAGTAGATGTTTAGTGCCTGTTCCCTACTGGTCCTCTACACTTGCATTATATTTTACGTCTTATTATGTTTTGTTGTAAATATTTTAACACTACTGTTACTGTTATAAGACTGTCACTGTATTTCTTTCGAATGGCGTTTGACCCTTGCACATAGGCCTGCCATGTTAACAAATTTTGCTGGGCGATTAATTGTCTCAGAAATTATTGCAATAAATTATAATATTGTTTGAAATTTGACAATAATTAGTCATTTTTGTCAAATTAATTTGTTTTGCACGCAATACCTTCTTTTGACCACCGGACAGCAGTATAAGACTGTTTGAACCGAAGGATGGATAGTGAGGGAGCGAGCAGCATGTCAGTAAGAAAAATGGGAGGGAGGCCCCTTGACGTGACATGGGCTGTCTCTCTTCAGTTCTTAAAATGGCGGATGTTTGGTGTGGTTTGAGCTCTTTAGCATAGCATTTTTCACACAAAGCTTTAAATAAAAAATCAGTAAACAAGTTCTCAGCTTCTTTTTGCAAAGAAAAACTTTGTACACGAAGGCACGGGTTTCAACTGTGAATTTTGGCGCTTTGACAAGACTGAGGTTTTTTTTTCCCCAGGTCGGTCTCTTAGCTTAGCTCGTAGCTTAGCTGCTTTTAACGATCCAAAAACGCGATTTTGGATCGTTAGAACCGATTTTAAAGAGAAACGAGAAAGGGAGGGGGTCAGTGAAGAGCACCGGAGTTGAGCTTTTTGTCATCCAGTGTCTTCATAAAGAGACAGACACGAAGAGATAAAGCCGATAAATGAAAATGAAGTTGATCATTTTCATTTATCGTGCAATTAATTGCTTTATTGTTTATCGCAACAGGCCTACTTGCACATTGCCCAGGACATCCTTGTAAAAATAATGGATTTCTTTCCGGGTAAAATAAAGGTTTACAAAACAACAACAACAAAAATATTCATCATAATGTCAACTCTAGAACAAATCCAGAATCACAGTCTGGCAGCCGAACAGTAAAAGTTTGTTCTTACTTTGAATTTGAAACGTTTGAGTCTGTAAATTCTTCAGACTCAGAGGACAGACAGTCTGACAGAGGGTTTACCTTGTCGTCCTTCAAGGAGCTGATTCTGGCCTCCAGGTCTTTGAGGATCTTATCCTGCTCACATAACCGGCTCAGCTTCACCTGCAGGGGGAGGCACAGAGCTGAGAATAAACCCTGGCTTTTAATCCTTCATCCTTTAGTGTGAATCAGAGTGATTGTGCAGTGATCTTTCATAATTAAGTGCTCTATTTACTTGATTAAAACTTGTTTTTTTTCCTGCGGCTGCAGTGACCGTGTGCAGGATTGTGAACCTGGATGTAAAATGTGGTCTCTGAATGCTCGTTTTAACGTCTAATATCTACTAGTTTGAGAACACGTTCTGGAGTCTTGTTTTTTATAAACATGTTGACTACGAATAAAAATATTTAACAACATGGGTGCAACTGTGCGAGGCAAGTTCAGATAATAAATAATTATCTTTCCATTAGAACCATCGAGCCTAAAGGCAACAGTGGAGTCACCTGCGCACCCCGAGGTAAGACAACAACACAGTAATTACGCAATAATATTGACAGAACAGTTTAAATATTCAATCAAATACATTATTTATCAAAAGTGGTTTCCATGGTGACGCTGTTGTTGGATCTTCATTGCAGACAAAATGTGCATAAATAATTGAAGGAGCTGTGTGTGAGGGGAATCGACAAGAAATAGTTTTAAAAGAGCAAACACGAGCCGGAAAAAGAGAACTGTTAAAAAAAAAATAGAAAGAATTTAGGATTTTTCTCAATGAAACTGTCTGGTTCCTGTTTGTTACCTTAAAGAAAAGACAGGGGGAAGGGTGGGTGTGGGGGGGGTGGGGGGGACAGACAGGTTGGCTCAATTGACTCAGTGTAGTGTAGAGCTGTCATTTCTAACCCGAACCTGGAGCCCGGCCCCGCCCGACCCAGATTCGGGCCGGGTCGGTGTCAGGCTTTTGATTGTGTTAGGGATACGTGTGGCCGACGATACAATTATATGCCATCATGGCTTGCCATACCATCAACAGCCAAACGCGGCTATTTGACCGTGCGCTGACTGGCCTTGAAAGAGGTAAAAACTTCAGTTAAGCTTCAGATGGACTACTGCCAGCGATTCATCAGCCCAAATGGACGTTCATTCAGCTGTGGCACTCAGCGGACGCGCACGGCCGACGATCCAAACAGGTGAGATCACAAAATATCCGACCTCTCAGAGTAGGGTCCAATGCAGGCAGAAGCAGGGGAAGCATTTCATGCGCTTTGAGGGCTCCTCAGCTCCGATCTTCTGCCCCCTTTACTCAGCCGTGCGCGTCCGCCGACTGTTAGTTATAGTATTAATAATGGATTATAGTTAATATTATTATTAATAATGGATTTGGACCTGTAATTACTGTTAATCCGTCGGATCGGGTGGGGTTCGGAGATGATGGCTGCGGGCTGGGGCTGGGTCGAGTTGGATATTTTTGGACCCGAGTGAAACTAGTGCAGTGTGAATGTGAACCGCACCATCTGAAAATGTAAACAAGTGTTCTGAATTCTGGTCCCAGTCGAATCGAGTCTACCAGACTATCAGGTGTGAAAACGACCAGTTTCTCTCTCCTCCACTGTATCTGACAGTCAGAGCTGCAAACTAGAATTTCATTTGTTCTTGTCTGGAGTGGAGCAAAATCATACCAAAATTTTTTTTTTAAAACTTTGTTTTCTTTTAATTTGCACGTGGTGACCCCTGAAGAGGGAACAGCCAAAAGAAAAGGAAGAAGAAGAGGTTCTCTTTTAATTTGCATAGGTCCATAAAGAAACTGCTGGTTCAAATGTATTTCTAAATCCCAAACATATTTCATTAAATGAGTTTCCATCCATGTTTTACTTTTACAGTAGATCAAACATTTTGATAATCTGATTATGAAAAACGTCTTTGGCATCAACAGGATAGATGTTATATCAAATAAACTTGTCATTAGTGGAATTAGAAACTAGAGTGAATTATTTATTGAGAGAAGACCTTTAAGAGTTAGTAGTCTAATACTTACATCTACGTCGCTTTCTGCAACTTTCACAGGTTTCCCTGTTTCCTTCAATGTCTGACTTCCAGCTACCTGTAAATTCAAAAATAATCAACAATTTCAGATGTTAGTTATGCGCTAAAACAAAATGCTGCACTGTGTTGTACTAAGGAAGTGTAGAAAACAGAGAGCGGCTATAAACTACTTCAAGGCAAAAGGGCGGACTACTGTATCCGCGATGACCTCCTGCCTTTAGGAACAGGACAGTACGAGTGACTTCTGGCACAAAATCAGCTCTCGTCATGAACAACACAGTGGCTATGGAGACTTTGAAGCTCTGCACAAAGTGATACACCTTTAGCAATTTGCTTTACAGGTGCTCAATTTAAATCTAAAGGGGTTCCACCTGCTAGTTAAACAGGACAGTATACAGTAGTCCCTCGTTTATCACGGGGGATCCGTACCCTGAAGACCCGCGATAAGTGAAAAAACCGCAAAGTAGAAATAGTAGTTTATTTTAGTATTTACATATAAAGATATTAAGGCATTTTAAACTCTTGCAACATTCTAAACAATGTTTCTAAAGGGAGCTTCTCCCTGCACATGTGGGCTGCACACAGGTGCAAAATCATTTAAATTAATTTATTTTAAATAAAAATTCATGCCGATCGTGCGGCTCGTCCATCAATTTCGTGTCAGGTCCAATCTTACTTTGAAAAACCGCGACACGGTGAGTCCGCGAAAAACAAACCGCGAGGGACTACTGCAGTGTCAGCATTTAAAGCGCAACAACATTTACTGACAAAAGCTTTTCCTTACGCCTGAAAACTATTTAGCGGAACACAATTTTGCAACTTTACAGCATTGAGGTGGTGTGCAGCGTTTCAGAGATGATGGTAAAAGCAGCTGGCTTTTCAACCACCGGGCCACAGCCACAACACATGCACTGCCGAGCCATCCCATGCCCAGAATCCGACAGCAATGTTAACACTGCCATATGTAAGAGGTGGGGGTGGGGGGTGGGTATGATGTCAAAGGTCGTATGGAGAATATATGATGCTGATCAGTATGTAAATACCGTGCTGTAAAGCGATGGCATGGTCTTTCTGGAACACAGACTCTTGAAATAAGCACAGAGAGACTGATCTCCACCACAGTACGAACATGCACAAGCAGGAATGCACAGACACACCGGGGAGCAAACGTCTTGTTTCAGAATATTTACCGGACACAGACACACACACACACATACATACAGACCGACACATTGAGCTTACGTTCATTAGAGGCCTGAGAGGCCCAGCAGTGCAGTGCAGTAGTAAACTGTGAACTGCGAGGATCAGCGGCTCTAGAGCTCTGATCTGTGAGTCAAGAATCACAGAGACACAGAGCCGTGCTTTGGGTGAAACGCTTATTAAACAGTCAAGAGCTAGATGAATACGTTTTAGTCTTTGTGGGTGTTTAGTTTCACTCAGAGGCCTGAACATCTTCAGTAACAGCTGCAACGATCGGTTCAACAGAAGACGTGGTTGTCCACAAGAAACACCAAACGCTGAAACTTGAGCAGTTCAAATCAGAGACAGCCCAGTAGAAGTTAGACATTTTCTCTCACCTTGAGATCCAAATACTCCAAGTCCTTCTTTAGCTGCATGTATGTGTCATCCGCCTGAAAGGGGGAAAACATGTGAGCATATTAGAGAATTGTGCAAACAGGAATTAAGTTTATGATCTAGACCAGAGGTGGGCAACATTTTATTCCAAAGGGCCACATCAAGACATTTAGAGCAATCAAACGGCCGCATGGAGAATTGGAAAATAAATTTTCTTTGTGACAGATTATCTAGAAGGCCTTTTTCAGGCTTTGTTTTATTGTAGCACAGTTAGCATTCTTTATAAAACATGTCTTTCCAATATACTTTAGGAATAAAGTAGTCCCTCGCTACTTTGCGGTTCATTTATCGCAGATTCGCTCTATTGCGGTTTTTCAAAACGAGATTGGACATGACACACGATGGATGAGCCGCACGATCGGCATGGAATTTTTATTTAAACTAAATTAGTTTAAATTATTTAGCACCTGCTGCACATTTGTGCAGCCCACACTGCAGGATAAACTCCCTGCTGCAGCTGATCAGCTGATCTCCATGCAGAGTGGAGAAGTGGGCGTGGCCAAAAGCACTTGCAGGTGGCTGAGAGCAGACGAGCTGAAATCATGATATTCTGTGCTCTTTTACAGTGTTTAGAAACATTGTTTAGAATATTGCAAGAGTGTGGGAAGGGTTTAAAATGCCTTTATATACATATATATACATATATA